TCAGGAGACCATCGAAGACCTGCAGGGCAGAATGGAGCAGCAGCAGGAAGTAGCTGCGGACCGAACTCGCCCTGACGGGGAAAGGGAGGCTGCCCAAGAGGAAGTAGAAACCCTTCGGGAAAGGATTGCGGAATCGCAGGCGCAAAGGGATGGTTTGGAAAGAGAAATGGGGCTTACCACTAAGGAAAAGGTAAAAAGAGCTCTGGTGAAGTATGGTATTCCGTTGGCATTCGCAGTTGCTATTTCGAGCGTAGCAGGAGTTATCCTATCCGCGCTTAAGGCTGCAGGCGCGGGCGTAAAGAAATTAGGCAATGGGCTGGCGGACTTGGGAAAAAAGATGGCAGCCGGCTTGCCTGGGCTGCTGGGTTCGGTTGTTTCCTTGGCACTTAGGGCCGGCGGAGAACTGTTGAAGTTCGTGGGGAATAACATTTGGATCCTCGTAGTAGCTATTGGAGTGGTACTCCTGAAGAAGATGAAGGGTTAATCTTGTCGGGTGCCCCTCGGGGTGTTCTCGACTTTGGATAAGTAAAGATAGTATTCACACCGCCTTGATAATTCGGTATTAAGGATAACACGCTCATGGTGCTAATGGGCTTATGATTCCAAACAGCATTCGCTGGAGGATCTTTTGTCGGGGCGGCATTTATCCGAAGGTAGGCAACGTCGTTGGGAAGAACCTGTAGCTTCGCATATTGACAATTGACTATCATGTGAAAAGTTACCGGCGTTAAGTCTTCTACGCTTGCTTGATGGGGTTCAAATGAGAAATGAACTGGGTTCCTATTGTTGTCTTTTTTTCTGCAGGGTAGTAATGGTTGGTTATCCTCATCGACGAGTCTAAACCCAACATTACACGAATACCCCGTCGAAATGACAATGGTACACATGATCAATCCCAGGCCTCCAACCTTCACCCACAGCCCGGTGTCATACCATTGCTGTTCTAAGTAGTCCTTCTCCCCCAAAAAATGAAGAAACCAATCTTCCTTTACGTGTGGGTTCATATATATGAATGCTTGGTGGAAAAACTGTTGACCTCGTAGTAGCTATTGGGGTGGTTCTCCTGAAGAAGGGTTAATCTTATCCTTGTGTATTACTGGCRGYTTRTCGTCGTTGGGCGTCCTAGGCGTCCTCGACTGGGGATAARTAAAAATAGTATTCGCACCGCCTTGATAATGCGGAACTAGCGGCAGCACGCTCATGGTGCTAATGGGCTTATGATTCCAGGTCGTGTCGGTGACGGCAATGCCRCCRATATAATTTATCCTTACGTTGCCATCGTGAGATAGAATTTGCAGCTTGGCATATTGGCAGTTGGCTATCATATGAAAAGTAACCGGCGTTAAGTCTTCGGCACTTAGCGGAGGAGGCTCCGACGAGAAGTGGGTTGAATCCCTAGTATTGATCTTTGTCCTGTAAAGTGGCAATGGGTGGTTATTCTCGTCAATGAGTCTAAACCCCACGTTTGCGCCATTACCAGTGTTAATGCTAATGGTGCATATTATTAACCCCAAACCTCCAACTTTAACCCACATTCCAATATCAATCCACTCATTCCCTTCGCTATACGTCTTTTGATCTAAATTGTGAATGTAATGGGAATTCATATATTTCAGCAAACATAGCTTTGCTTCTAGAGGCTTACCGCTGTAAGAGTGCTAATGGTGGCGTGATTATATTTTTCATCTCTTTGATTTTCTATACTATTTATGCAAACGCTCCCGGTGTCGTCTACGCGTATTTGCAACTTTACCTTCCCATGGCAATCAGCAACCATGTGAAAAGTCCAAACCGATAGATTCTCAGCGCTGCTGGGGTTGGGCTCTATGGAGAAATGCGCAGGCTCCCTGTTGTTCGTCTTCGTGCGCATAGGCTGCAGTATGCCGTTGTCGTCACAAAAACGAAATCCAACGTTGGCATGACTGCTCGTGCCAATGCAAATACTACAAAGGATTAATTTCTTCCCTGAGTAGTTCAAATTCACGGACATCCCCGTGACATCAACCCAAGAGCTCTGGGTGTATTTTTTCTCGCCTGTGTAAGTCGTATAAACACAATCTACTCCAGCTACGTAGGGGTTGTTCATCGCCATATATAATAGCCCAGACCAATGCTTGCAGCTACTAAGCCGACTTTTAGTAAGTCATGGTCATATTCCTCGGTAACCTTCTTTACTGGTGGCACGTACACCTTTTTTAATGGCTTTTCTACCTCTTTTTTTGGTTTCTCTACGAAGTGAGTAATGCCCTTGGTCATGTCAGAGTTCACGTCATTCACCCCAAACTTCATATCCTTAGTAGCTCGCTGCAGCTTGTTGTTATAACCCACCACGGAATTGGTGTTAATAACCAAATTACTTGGCATTAACCAACAACCAGGCGACAAAGCGTAATCTAACCGCACTTTAGACTGCTGCACCGCTAATTGATATCTCTGCACCGACTTGGATATGTCATTTTCTATTATTGCAGACTCAAATAAAGTTAGGAATTCTTGTTGCGTTTCCCGCGAAGCACCTTGGGATCCAACGATGGGGCTGCGGGTATTTACCTGCGCACCAAGGATGCAGTACACGAATGCTTCAATGCTGCGGTTAATCCTGGCTAGGTTCCTTAAACCTTTTCCTTTCATTAACACGAATGGATCCCAAGTGCCGAGGTAGTTCGATTGAATTCTGGTAATTAATGAATTATTGCCTTTATCACCACCCATATCACCGAACTCTAACTCACCACTTGGGTATTCCTGATGCCCATAATCGGCTGGCTTCTCACCATTGGCACCCCAAACATAAACTATACCCAGCCCATGCGTCTTACCCTCTTTGTAACGAAAGTCTCTTTGCTGTGGTTTGAACTCATTAATTAACCTTTCTAGGGCTGCGGCGTCATATCGATTATTCATTGGATTAAATGCCTTATCCCCTGGTAAAGGTACGTTAAGCTCCTTCAACAACCTCCTTACCGTAAAGGCAACGTGAAACCGCATGATCGGAACGTGAAACATATCCGCGGCAACTCCGCAACCTTTAGTGGCGGCCCAAACAGCAAAGTTTAACTGCTGCGGCCAATATCGCATATTGGGTCCTGCTAACCATTCTCGGGCTTCTTTACCTGAGGTATGCTTTAACATCGTATCCCCATAGATATTCCTTACTACTACGTCAAATGATTGCTTACCCACTGAAATCTTCAGGAACGTTACCATCGTTTCAAAGTCGTTTACACCACCTTCAGCGTCGTAAAATGGATAATCTTCCGTGGTTAACAATAAGTTTCTAGGAAAATTAGGTGGTGGTGCGTATTTTTCACGTGGTTTCGGTGGTGGTACATATTTTTCATGTGGCACTTTGGGTGTGCTTTGGTGCTCAAATACATTATTTCCAAAAGCGTCGTACATTAGTATATAATGGATGTTATACCTTCAGCACCTCAGTTGTACCCAGATGTTCCCACTAAGGAACCTAACGCTGAAAACTTTCGCTTAAATAAGGCGAACTTAATCCTGGCTTACTTAGAAGGGCAAGCGAAACACTACGAAGAGGTCAGGAAAAAGTACGCTAGAGCCCGAAGCATCTTACATAAAATCGCGATAACTTCCGGCTCCATGTCCGTGGCGTTAACAGGCACTGGCATTGCTACTTCGCTTACCGGACCTGGAATAGTCGTTGGCGTTCCTTTGGCCAGCGTCGGAGCCGTCTGCGGTATTGTTTCCGCTGTTACGACAGGCATTATGAAGCAATTGTCTGGTAAGATATCCAAGCACGACACACACATAGCCCTGGCAAGAGCAAAGGCTAACACCATCACCGACTTGGTGTCTCAGGCTCTGCGTGACCGCCGCATAGACGATGTGGAGTTTTCTTTGATCCTCGCGGAGGAAAAGAAATACGGTGAATTAAAGTTGGGTAATAAAAAAACCATCGTGAAAGATCTGTCCGAGGAATCTCGCAAACAGATCTACCAGAAGGCAAAGGAAGATCTACAAAGAAAACTCGCTCAGTAAACATATGCTTTGAAAAGAACGTAGGTGGATTTCGGCTGCACATTTCATCTTCTCGGAATCCATTCTAACAGTGGGTGCTGGGGGTCCATTTGCTGGAATATTTCATAAATCACATCAGGGTAATAGGGAATATCCTTATCCAGCCGACAGAATAACCACTCAGCCCTTTGCATATCTGGGACATGAGGAATACGCCTACCGGTAATTTCAGACAAAAGATAGGGAATAGCTTTGTAATATTTCCCTAGCTTTAATTTTTTCAATGTCTTTCGTAGACTTTGTGGGGTTGGCTCTTCTAAGTGGTCTATGATCTCCCGCGTGTCTAAATATACCGGATGTAAACCTTGGATATGACTCATCCAGTCTCGGAAGTATTTTATTCTCTTATATGGCGTTTTCTTACGACCTCCATTGGCGTAATACTGTTCTTTGGTAACATTTGGCACGGCATTACGAATATTCTTACCACACTCGTAACACTGTGCTGACGTGTCGTCTTCTATCTGCATTTTTTTACCACAACACCAAAAGGGTTCTGGCTTCGGTACGATAACTCTAGGTCTTAGACAAATCACACAGAAGTCATTAACAAACTTCTTACATTCATGCATCGTATATATCTAAGATATCTTTCCCTCCGTTTACGATCCCCAAATAGAGCAGCAGTAAGGCGGTCTTCGCGATGGAGGCTGATCGCGCAAGACCCCCTGTAGGGCGGATTACCAACCTCAAAAACACCAGGGGGGGCTGATGTTTTTCGACTTGCGATTTTTGCCAATGGAGGCTGATCGCGAGTCCCCCTTACTGCTGCTTCATATCATAGTTGCAGTTTATTATTGTATTGCAGTT